CCTCGCGGTTTAAAAGAGAAATTCAAAAACCCACTTTTCCCCTTTTTTTTTTTTTTTTTTTTTTTTGAAGTTTCTGAAATAATAGGATACTTTTTCCATCGTCGATTATGATGATCATAACAGTTAAGATGCCATTACCCCCTAATGGATTTCCCAGATGTTCCTGCATAGGTATTTCTCTGGCCAAAGTTGTGTATTTTACATGCCTTCGACTCTACTTATTACCCCCCAAAACCAGCTGGAGGCCAGAAAGGGCCCAATCCATCATCCTCTGCTTGGCCCAGCTCTGAACCTGCTCACAAGAATGGAGCTCTTTCACTTCCCCTTCTCCCTCCACCTTCCCTTTACACCCCCACCTTTCTCAAACCAACCCAAAAAAAAAAAAAAAAAAAAGTACCCCCCTAAATTCCAGCGCCACACCGAGGTCACTTACCGGCGAAGCAAAACCTGAGAGGGGCTCTCTGTTTCCGGCTCAGAAAACACTTTGGCCATTCACATGCAGGTTTGCTTGTTTGGAGTGCGGTAGCCAAAAAACAACAACAAAAATAAGCGCTATAAAATATGGAGTGTGGTTTGGAATATGATCCTGGTAAAATGTTTGCTGAGTGATGGGGATGGCGTACGGCCTGGCTGTTAATGACTCCGGTAATATTTTAAAAGGAAAGGGCCTACCGTATTTGGAGTTGGTGGAAAAGCTGATCAATATTTTTTGAGTTTTAGTCATGATGGCAGTTCGGGATGTAGATAAATGGAAATTGTATTCCAGTCAATCTCTCTAAAAGTAGGGCATTAAAATCAAAGGAAGGAGCAACAAAAAATAATTGTAATACAATATTTCCGAGGAGAACAATCACTTCAACAGGTTTGGCAGTACTTACACAGGTACGCTCCTCACTGGGGAGCAGTCGCTCATTTTCTTCATGTATTAATCTATTTACTTAATTATATCCTACGTTGCCCGGAACTGCTTTACATTCTGTCACATTAAAACTACAAACTCCAATACAATTTATTGCAGTTTAATGTGATAGACCAACACAAGTGCAAATCTGTGAGGAGGAAGAAGAGGGATGCGTAGCTTTTCTTTTTATAAACACATTATCTGAAAGGTTTGGCGTGCATTTTTATTAAGATGAGTAAATACTGTGGAATCCCACCTGCTTTTCGTTAGTGGATTTTCAATAATTTATCTGTGCAAAATAACTCAAACCCCATTACATTGCACGGAAAATTCATCCGAGTCATTTTAATTTGATTCAGATATGGACTTTAGGATATTTCTAATAATGAATATGCGTTGATCTAAACCACTCCAGTGTGTCTCTGGCTGCATGTTTAGGGTCATTGAACCTCTGCCCCAGCCTAAAGTCTTCTGCAGCCTCTAACAGTCAGTGTTCCCAGATTACTCTATATTTACTTCAATCCATTTTCCATAAACTCTGTCCCATAGCACAATGCTGCCATCAACATGCTTCACCCTGGGGACAACATATCTGTGTTGTGTTCAGGGATATGTGGAGCTTTGATGGGTGGAAAAACATGCATCTTTTTCCATCCATTTCCCAACTACAAACTATGTTGTTGTAGTTTTTCAAATGCAATCCTATTAACACCTCATGGACTAGTAAAGCTAATTAGCTTTATCCATGTTTTGATGAAAATAAAGCCAAGGTAGTGTATGAATACTGCAAATATTGGTTGATACATGTGTCATTCATACTAAGGATACCATCAGAAGTGCTTTGATACCTGCCCAGTGGTCAAAGTGTGGACTACATGTGATTCATGGAAATGGATGTGCACAATAGATAAACTCAATAAATAATTTTAACTCTGAGCCAAATTATGCAGCAAACACTATATTTAGGATTACAGATGTAGTTAATAACTAGTTGTTTTGGTGTGACGTATTTTAGCGACACTAGGCAACTAAGGAATATAAATAAGTTATACTAATTTAATAAGGATTCAGGTGTAATTGTAAAAATGGTAATTTGTGTGGATGTATTTTAAAATGCAACTTTGAATTAAAGGATTACTTCAGATTACAAAAAAATATTAATATAAATATAGATGTAAAAATAATTACTTAAATGAGTACATGCATGAATAAAATATATATATATTTTTTTTCATGAAACAGGGGATACAATCTTCTAAGACAGTAGAATAAAACTATTTCAATGTTTAACTGCACTTAAAACACTGCAGGTTGACCACCAATAACTTCAAAAATATACATTGAAATTAATTTGTAACACTGATTTATTATTGTTAAAAGTGGCTAGAAGCTCATGGGATTGTGTGGTAACTGTTTTTATTTTTTGCTGCATGTGAAACACTAGTTATAGCTGTTCAAAAACATCCATAGCTGGCTGGAGTTATCATGTAACTCCAACCAACTCAATTTCAAAGTTTTTTTTTTTTTGAGAAACAGCAGGATCAGTAAAATAATCAACATACCAGGATTGAAAAGTTAGTTTCAGTACCTAAATGTCTAGTAGATCTAATTGTGTCATACATACAACATACCAAAATTTACACCAGTGGTTAGTACAATGTTCACAATAATAACCCCAAATTAATTCAACATCTAACTGACAGCAAAAACACAAATATTTTTTTTGGTATAATTAGAAATCATTTCCGGCATTTAGGAGTCAAATCACACTGAGTTTGTGACTGTAACGTAACAAAATGGGAAAAGGGTTCAAGGCTCCATGTCTTTATCTGTATGCAATACATTTTTCGAAGCCTGAATGTGTATCTTGTATCTTGCTAAACCACGTCTCACTTTCACTCCTCTCGCAGGTAGTCGTATCGACGACTGTCAACGTGGACGGCCATGTCTTGGCCGTCTCCGACAACATGTTCGTACACAACAATTCCAAGCATGGGCGAAGGGCTCGCAGACTCGACCCTTCAGAAGGTACGCCTCCTTATCTGGAAAATGGTAGGCACATTTTTACATCTTATAATTTGCTACGCTGCTTTTTTCCTATTAGTTTTTTTTTTCTCCTTTTTCCATTTTTCAGATCACACACCTATAGCTCCTTTCACATCCGTAGAATCAATAGTTCCTCCATCATCTTTTTTTTTTTTTTTTTTTTTACTTTTTGAGTTGCTTCTGGCTTCCATCCCAACTTCTGTTATGCATTGACGGGAAATACTATGCATTAGTTTTTCTCATTCTTACACTGCGAATGACAACTAATTCAGAAATGTTATGCTACTTCTACTCTGGTAATGCACCTAGATTTGTCCTAAAAGCCACAGTGAAACATGATCAAATTGCTGAAGAATTTGGCTGTAAGGTCAATTTCCTGCCGTTGGGGTTCTGTAGATGTAGCTGAGAGAGAGTCGAAACAGAGGGAGGAAGGAGAAAGACAGAAAGAGAGAAGGGGGGGGAGAGGGAGGTCGACTGATTCTGTGTGTGTGTGTGTGGGTGGGTGGGTGCATGGAGGGGTGGGGTGGCCTATGAGCAAAACAGAACTTACTGTTTTTCTTCCAACTGATTCCATATGATAGACTGATTGCCTTCTCAGCCAAAAGGGAGAAAAGAAGGACCACCAAACCATGGGAAATCCGAAAAGTAAAATGTGCTATGTGTAACCTTTCGACCCCCGTGGCCTTCGCTTACGGAAAGCAGCTAACCCACAGCTGAAATACTGTTAAAAAGAGCAGGGGGAACCTGACTTTCGTGCGATTGCTTAGATTTAAATTGTGAGGGCCAATTACGGCAAGGCAAACAGTTTATATATGCCACGTACTAAAAACAAGCTTCTCTGCACATTAATGGGCATTAATGGTTCTGTCACCAAAAGCAAATGTAATGTTTAATACAACAACGACGAATACAAAAAAAAAACAACAACAAAAAAACATAGCAGACAATTAATATATCTCGGTGCTCTGTAGTCCTAGTGGGGGAAAAAGCTAATCTATTTGTTTTTGTCTTTATTAATGACTCCTCTACTGGAGAACAAAATCAAATAATTAAAGTCCTGCCCGGAGCACCAAAGTCATTATGTTCGCTGACGTTCTGTTTGTGTGTTTCACATTTATGACACGATAGGTGTGGATCGCCTAGCAACCAGTTTCTTAATGAGGAGAGCAATTAAAGAGGTTGAGCCCTTGCCTCCGTGTTCCCCTGCTCCCATGAGACCTTCTGTGTGTTGTGTGTGGCGTGTGTACGCGTGTGCGTGTGTGTGTGGGTTCTTTACAGGTTACCCCAACCCATCCTTTATTCTCCTCTTCACCGCACTCTTCAAAGCGGCAGAGTGACGCCCCGTAAAGCAAGAAAAGAAGCAATTGTCAACCGCCCAGTTGAACATGTCTTTGTCTAATAACTTTAATACACCTTCCCTCTTCTTTAGAAGTTGAGATCTGGGCTTTTTTTTTTTTTTTTTTTCCCTCCCAGGCTCAGCTCTACAACAAACTAATTTATCATGCATCAACAGCGATGGCTCACTTTGTTTTGAGTCACCTTTAACAAACAGAGATGTGGCACGGGAGGAGAGGGGAAGAAAGAAAAAAAAGAAAAGCGAGAGGCGGTTTTATAAAATGTAACTCCAGCCATGTCCTCCGCAGCGGCTCTGACAACTCGAAGGCAAACAGACAGACAGCGTGCTTTAAATTAGCAACACATTCTTCCTCTGGAGTTCACAGGGCGAGAGGCTTTCAGCCTTTGTGGCTGTCTGACTGGCTGAAGCAGGGAGGCATCCTTTCCCAGCGCAGCTCAGGCTCAAGAAGTGCTGCCCCCTATTGGCACTCAGAGGGGATCGCACCCAGATGACAGTCTGAATCTCGCCATGTGACATTTTTGTTCACTTGTGTGCTCTGTCACACAACAAGCATATTATGCATTCAGACATGAATGTGCTTTGAGGCCGGCTGTCACTCAAACATGTATGGATTCAGGCTCAAAGGTGCATAAACATGCTCACAAATAGCTGAGTCTTTCACACACATCACCCCCCCCCCCCCCTGCCACACACCCCCACCTTCAAACACACACACACACACACACACACACACACACACACACACACACACATACACACACACACAACAAATACAAAAATGCTCTCACTCACTCACCCACACACTCATACACACACAAACATAGACATACACTCATGCACGCACGTTCCTTAGCTCAGTTTCACCATTATAGAGCCCCAGACAATATAGGAGACTTAGCATAGGGCCTGCAGCGCCTGACTCATTTGCATGCCAAGTGGCTGTAATGCTGTTAGGGTTTATGCAATAAAGACAAGCGAATCCAGACCGCCGGGCCTAAGAGGACGAGAAAAGAAGGAGGGAAAAGAGGATGGGAGGAAAAGGAATAAGAGAAGGAGAGAGACTGAGGGTGAGACAGCGAGAAAGAGAGACAGAAGAGAGAGTCAAAGGGAACAGATGGCCCAGGGAGAGGTAAAAGGTATAATCCCATCAGCTGCACTATCAACCGACCATCTGGACATCCCACAGCACAATTACAACACATTTCAGCAGGCAGAACAAAGGACGGCTTCACAGGGCCACATCAGACCTGTTTGAGTGTCACAAAACCAGAGCCAGAAGCTCCTCCGCTCAGATCTCAAATCGGCTTTGACGTCCTCCACGGCTAACGCTAAACTGAGAAGAAGGAAAAAAAAAAAAAAAAAAAAAGTTGAAAACGGGTTGCAAAGTTGCAGCATGTGGTTGTTTAAAACCATAAAATTATTTAGATTCAATTTAAGGCGATAACTGGCCCTTGATTTGTTTTACTTTTCCATCCTAAAGTTTAGTAAAGACTTAGTAAAGCAGCAGAACATTGCAAACTCCTCCGTCCACTTCAGCTGATGTCTATCATCTGCCAGGTTGGGTGGGAGGGGGGCACACTGTGCGTGTCTGTCATCAGATCGCCTGTGCTGACTGTGTAATCCACTTTGCCACGGTCCCCATTCAGCACATGCTCCCCGCTCTGACTGTGCATTGAGACATATGCAAATTTTCAGGCAGAAGGGTGGACGGCTTAGGGCCTCAGTCACTGCCTCTCCATGAGTCCTTCTGCGCGTGGGAGTGAGGCGTGGGGCTGGGGGTGTGTGGATGCAGAGAGGGGTGTGATAGATGGGATTTCCGAAGTGGTGTTTGTCTATTCTCGTGTGCGTGTGTGTGTGTGCGTAACTAAGCGCAGCCCGTCATAGGTTTCAGGCAGCAGCTGCCCCCCTGCCCCCCACATCCCCACCCAACAGTCACCATCAGGCACCCTCCTCCTTCCTGCCCCTCCTTCCCTCTCTTCGTTCTCTCTCATCCCCAAAGTCAATTTGTTTACAGTAATTTTGAAGGGTGAATTATTTGCTGTAATCGTCCGCACTGATGAAGGTCAGGCCCTTAGAGGGGGCCCCGGCATGCCCATGGAGGGTTGGTCCTCTTTCAGACGCTCCGCTTCGCAATTAAGGAAAGCAAATGTCACTCCTCCAGGCCTCACAAATGAAAATCTGTACGAGGTGATTAGCATGAAGTCAACAGCGCCTGTTAAAGTCAGATTCCCTGTAGTACCAATGTGTGTGTGCGCACTTTATGGGCAGAGAGAGAGAGCAAACATGACCTGAACAGACCCAACAGTAAGGCAAACAAAGGGAGATGTCTTGTCTGAGGTGATCCATACAACAATGGCTGACTGTGATTTACTTACTGGATGGAGGGGATAAAGGAGGTTTTAGAAGTGTGCTTGCAGTGGGAGGAGAGTAAGGAAAAGAGAGAAAAAAAAACTTGCAGGAATAGTTGCACGCATTTTGAGGAGCGGGAAAAACATGCGCATTTCACGCCGTATTATAAGATATTGATGAAAATAGATTAAATTTGATATTGCTATTTTATGGCAAGCTGTCATGCTATTTCTGTTGTAAACATGGTGTTTTGCCGAACACCATATTAAGGCAATGCATCAAGTGACAGCGAAAGTGAAGCATAAGATCACTCAAATTAGATTATAATAACAACTCCCACTGTTGATGAATGGCGGAGCTGCACAGCAGAAGTCATGCCAGATGAAAAGCATTGTAATAAACAATGTGAAATGGATTGAATCGATCACAAAAAGAAAACAAAAAAAAAAAAAAATCTTATACTGAATAATTCATGAGCGCATTTCACGATATGAAACCTGAAACTACACGCAGTGTGCCTTCGCTGTATTGTAGAACAAAGGTAATGAAATAACATGAAGCAGCAAAGCTTTAGCTTGTCATTTCCACTTCTTGACTCATTTAAGATGTGTTCAGCTTTAAAATTTTACTGTACATGTCCGTGCATGCTTAATCAATTCTGATGGCTACATTTGCCCTGACACATAATTTGCTCCATCAAATCATTTTCCTGGGGAGCCTGGGCGTTTAGCCTTTGTGAAGTGGACCATTTGAAGGGTCTGCTTAACTACACCACTCCACCGGGCTGATAAATGATTTTGATTCTCGTGCCTTAAAGGACAAATCCATCATTTTTTTTTTTTTTTTCTGGGGGCAATTTCCATGATATGTCTTTGTGGGAAAAGACACGCAGGGCTGAACGTAGAGGTGATTCAGTAACGTGTCTGAGAGAAAAGAGACGTGCTGGAGTGTCAAAGCCTGGGTGCTGAATTTGCTCTTCTCTTTGTCTTGGATAAGCAGCCACCCCATGCATCAAGGCTATCAGCCCCAGTGAGGGATGGACCACTGGAGGAGCCACCGTCATCATCATCGGGGACAACTTTTTCGATGGTCTACAAGTCGTGTTCGGCACTATGCTCGTATGGAGTGAGGTACGATAAAGCATTTATTAAAGAAATACTTCAGGATTTGCTCTCATCAGTCAGTCTTGGACGCTGAAACTAGTCCGAAAGCAGGCTTTCAAACTGGATTAAACAAACATAAGCTTAGCACAGCAGTGATGATTATTTACATAGCTGTAAAAAGTGGTACGCCTCCAATAGTCCTCCGCTGAGAAACGTACTGAGAAACAACAGGTAAAACAAAACTGGCTTAAAACGAATCAAAACAGTGGTTTGCCGAAAACAAAGTCATATTTTGTTTACCTTTTACACAACTTCACTTTGATGGAAAGTTTTGTTGAACATGTTCTGTTCTTAGTAAATGTTTCGCACAGGAAGGTAATTTTTGGTGCACCACCTTCCCACCTCCATGTAAAAAGAAATCATAAGCCTTTTGTGTAAAATAAACACCAAATGCAATTGTGGCAATGATTTCAAGGCTCATGAAGTAACATCTGCATGAACAGCTTTGAGATTGGAGATAATTTCAGACTAGCAGTCGGCTTCAGCTTCCAGGATCAACTAATGACGGCAATATATATTTTAACCTTGCAGGGTGATTCGCTTTCCCTCTTGCATGGAAATTACGCTCTCAAATGTCAATTGTTTGTTCTTTGTCGTGATTTCCTTTCGTTTTCCTCTGTAATCCAGCTGATAACTCCCCACGCCATCCGTGTTCAGACGCCCCCTCGGCACATCCCCGGCGTTGTGGAAGTCACGCTGTCCTACAAGTCCAAGCAGTTCTGCAAAGGTGCCCCTGGGAGATTTGTCTACACTGGTGAGTCAGAACCTTCTGTTCCTGTCTTTCTTTGTATTTTACAATCTTTTACTCTACTCTATCTCCATTCTGTCATTGGGGTGGAGACCTCAACTATCTATCCTAGCCAGTAACACAGAGATGCGGCACATGAGGTTTTCTGGCCAGCTTGTCTCTCTTTTTTTTTTTTTTTAAAGCCTTTCCAAAAATGATTTTGACTGATTTGGATTTCTCCTTAAGAACTATAATATAAGAAGATAAAAGAGATGCAATCAAGATTTTTTTTTTTTATTGTTCTTCTGCCATGAGCAGTCGATATTTTTCGAGAGCAAATGTTAACATCACATCATGTTTGTGAAAGAGCATGTTAACAGCGTTTTGATATTATTTTAAAGGCAAAGAGATTACAGAGTTGACATTTTGAACGTCCGTCAGCATGATTCCTTAAAATTCCCTTCAAACACCTCGCTGATAGGGTGCATAACTAACTCGGAGTCTTCTCAAAAATCCAAACTTGTCAAGCAATCTTGAGCCAATTTCTCTGCTCTTGTTAAGTGATCTGGTTCGATGAATGTTAAGTAACCATGTTCCGGTAAGGTATCGTGCCAAATTACAGCCCAAAGCCTTCAAGGTAAATCTTTCTCCCAATCGTTTATATCTGCCATTAAGTATAACAGATTATGTTTTAGCGTAATTTGCTGGATTTATAAGTCAACCGTGGCTTCATTTTTTATGAATCAAATAAGAACGTCTATAACTAGGTTAAGTGAGTGAGTGTGTCTGAAGTTATTCTCATGTGTGATCAGCATGAATTTGTAAGAGAAAGTGTGGTTAAGAGAGGGTGAGAGAAAGAGGGAGCGTGTGTGTGTGTGTGTCACACCGCGAGTAAAAGATCTGATTATCTTGGCTAACAGAAGGAAGTGGTGGTCTTATCTGTCATCATTGGTGAGTAGACAGAGGTTGTGAGGGTCAGAGCCTGTCTGACCTGGAAGCCTCTGTCTGTTCCAACTCTGGTGGGCAGAATAAAATGACCCCTCCTTCCCTCGCAGCACTCCTGAGCCTTAAGCAAAAGCTCTGGCCTTGAGCACAGCAAGGCCAAAGCTGGGGGCCCCCCCAACCCCCACTCCCAATCCCCCCAACAAAAAAAAAAAAAAAAAAAAAAAAAAAAAAAAAAACCCAAAACAAACCTTTCCCCCTCCACCC